AACAGCCGAACTGCAGAACTGCAGTCAGCTGAAGTAGCCTGCAGTGCTGCATTTAACCACTGCACCACCTTGACTCAAGGTGCCTATTTTCCTCACAGAACCAACCCTATGAGGTAAGTTGGGCTAAGAGTGAGTGACTGGCCCAAGGTCACCCAGCCAACTTTAATAGCTAAGGTGGAACTAGAACTTAGCATCTTCTGGTTTCTAGCATGGTACCTTAATCTCTATACCATTTAGACTATTGCTGTCAAACCTGTGGCCAGATGCATCACCCACTGGCCACTCCCACGCCTGGTTTAGCGAAGAACAAAAAAGTCACGCTATGCCACGTGATGCCACCATGATGACTTTGACACCTCTGATTTAGACCATCATATTGTTGCCTTAATATTAGAAGTGAGAAATTGTTTCTTAAAGCTGGAAAAAAAAGGTCTAACTAAATGTGAAACAGTGAGCACTTAACTCACTAGGATTCTCTCCCGTATGTAACTGGATTCAGTCCAGATGCACTTAGTTGCACTAAGACGGCAGCTTGCTTTCTTAGTTGGCTTGTAGGAAGAGCTTAAAATGTTGAAGCACTATTCTAAAGAATGAAAGCATCAGTGTAGTAAAACTATTTTAAAAGGAAGAAAAAAAATAGGTCTTAGCTTTTCAATCCAATAAATTTCAAAACTTAATTTCACTATAGATTGTTTGTTTAGTTGTTTTAGGTTATAGGCAATGCAGAAGGGAGAATTATAAAAGCTAAGAAAGAAAGCTGATAGAGAAAGCTGTAAAATTACTGTATATGGCAGTGACGTGCGGTGAGCTTCATGGCCGGTGAGGCAAGCGCGAAAGCCCTGCCGAAGCCCTGGCACCACGTCCGCCATAGAGCAGGACTGGGTCCCGCTCTATGACAAACATGGCGCCAGGACTTTAAAGTCCTGCCGCCAGTGCCTGCCACCACTTTAAAGGGCCCCGGCAACAGGGCTTTAAAGTCCTGGCTCCATCCGCCATAGAGCGGGACCGGGTGCCACTCTATGGCGGATGCGGTGCCAGGACTTTAAAGTCCTGCCGCCGGTGCCTGCCACCACTTTAAAGCCCTGCCACTGGGGCCTGAACGGCCATGACTCCCCCCTCCCCAGCCAGCCGGCCTACCCAGTCCATTCCTCCCCCTGCCACCGCTGTGTCCAACAGGCCAGGCGTCTCACGTTTATGGCAGACATAAACATGAGACACCTGGCCTGTTGGACACAGCAGCGAGAACATCCCTGCCGCTGCCGCGCTCCACTGCCTTGCCCCCCCTGAAAGAAACACATGCACACATTCACACACACACAAATTTCTCACAAAAAAATTACAAATTAAATTATCATTTTGAACCCCTCCCTCCCTCCGTCCGATCCACATACCTTTTCCAGCTGTGGATTTCAACTCTCCTCTTGTCNACTCTGCCTATTTGAGATATTCAAATCTGGGGAGTTTGTAGACCATTCCCAATCCTTTCTCATGCTTTCCTAGTTTTCTTGGCTTGTTTGAATGTACGAATCAGATCATTGTCTTGCTGAAAGATTCCACTGTTTTCTTCATTTGTAATAAGAGGCTTGTTGTCTCTAAACACAAATGTTTCATTCTGTTGATTTATTTCTATTTTGCTTCCTTGATTCCAGGTAGTCCTCAATTTACAACTCCCTTTTGTTTAGTGACCCTTCAAAGTTATAAAGTCACTGATATTTGGCAGGCACATATTTCCAAGCCAAAATCCAACATTGTTTCTTTTCTGTCCTTAGGTACTTACGTTACTAAAGTGACAGCTACCGATGCAGATGATCCTGTTTACGGAAATAGTGCGAAGCTTGTCTACAGTATTTTGGAAGGGCAACCTTATTTTTCCGTTGAGCCACACACAGGTAAGTGATTTGGAATGTCAACTAACTTTCAAATGTAACATGGGGGGGGGGGATGCTACTCCAATGCTGTTTTGTGTCCTGCATTTAAACAGAATGTGTAGGTGGATGGCTGCTAACATTACTCAATTTGTAGAGCATAAATAGGTGAGTCATTTCTCACTCTTCCACCCAAAAGGCTGACAAAATAGGAACATTAAAATGAAAGAAGGACATTTATAAATTTTGTTGAGGCAACTAAGGTGGTATGTGGAAAAACAAGCAAATAGCTCGTTGTATTTAACTAGTCTGCTTTATGAAGAACAGGAAATCATTTTGGTCTTGTTTGCGAACACAAATTATTTTTACAGTCATAAAACCTCAGTTGTTGTACTTTATGGAGGCAAAAAAGTTGTGTACACAGAGAAACTATTTATTACTTTATTGAATTTTATGGCATTCTTATGTTATTACTTGTGATTACAAAAATGATCCAATTTACTAACTTACACATAGATTTAGACAGGAAAAGGTTACTGAGAAGATATGTGTTTTACACCTAAGAGACTTATGTTTTTAATCTCTGACAGTTTGGAATGATAATTTTTTCTTTTTTTTTCTTTTTCTTTTTTAATAGTTAGTTTCATTTATAGCCTAGTAAAGATCTTAAGGCAGGGTTCAAGATTCTCCCCACTTATGGACTTTCTGCTGTAATTCAGTTTTAAAGTCCGGCTTAAGTTTGTGGCTGAGCATCTGAATATCCCCAGTTTTAGTCCAATACTTAAATCAATATTCTTATTCTAAATCTGTCTTCTCAAGGAGTGTCATGAAATATGTTTTCCTCCTAGCCTTGGAGAGTCCGTCAGAGTAGACTCTAAATCAGTGAAGGCTAACCTTTTACATTCCATTGCACATGTGTGTGCCGGCACCCAAACTTCCAGTTTCTGGCCCATGCGTGTGCCTGACGAACAACTGGCCCTCATGCATGCGTGTGCCAGAAACCCAGAAGTTTCGGTGCCGGCACACACATGTGCGATGGAATGCTGCTCTTCTGGGTTTTGGTGCGCCGTGCATGTGAAGGCCAGCTGGCCAGCACACATGTGAGCACAGGAACGCAGAACAGGAGATAGCGAGGCTGTGCATCCCACATGGGATGGCCCCGCGTGCCTCTTCTAGCACATGTTTCATATGTTCACTAACATGGCTCTAGAACCTTTGGGATAAGGACTCCTTGTGTATTTCTCTCACATTACTATTTGCCATTTGGTAACCATTGTGGAGATACGTGGGACTATCCGCAAGACTCTGGGAAGCACTGTGTAGCCTTCAGGGCTTAGGTTATATATTAGGCTTGAATGAACCACAATAATATGGTTCAAAGCAGGTTCCTGTGCCATTTTTAGCAAACAAGGTCTTGAAAAAATGTAAAAACCTTGCCTGAAGGCTATAAAAGCAAAGGGAGAAGAAGAACTAACAGGAAGCAGGAGAGAAGGGAGGAGTTTCCATAGTACTGAATGAGGGGAAAATGCAGCTTCACATGTTTAGATTCTAGATTTGGCTGAGAATGACAATAGATAAGGGATGAGTGAAATATATGCTTGATTTTTTAAGATAAAAGTGCCCTATCTTTGCATAGTTTATCCTTAAAACAGAACAAGAAAACTTGAAGATTACCATTTTAATCATGTGAGAGCATGCAAGTAACATTGCAATCTGTCTTTAAAGTTCAGGGAATTAAGTCAGAATCATTTTTTCTATCTCTGCATTTTAATATTTCAATTGAGGAAGAGGAGGTTTTAAATACACAGGAGGAGTTAAATGTGTGGAGGGTGTGATGTTTCTAATGCACAAGATGTCTATGAAGATGTTTTCTCTCTTAATCTCTTTGCATGTGTGTGTGTGTGTGTGTATGTATGTATGTATGTATGTATGTATGTATGTGTATATATAAAAAAGCATACATACATACATACATACAGACAGACAGACAGACATAGAGCAGAATCTGCGTTTTTAATACAGCCACTCAGGAACTGTACTACAAGAAACAATATTGTGGAACTCTTTGGATTCAAATTGTCCTTTGGTGCGCTATACAATGTTATGTCTTCTGATCTTCTTTTGAATGGTTCAGGCATTATGATTTCTTTTATGGCTTCTTAAGTGTGTGTGTATTGCTAAATTTTGTTTATTTCTACGTATTTTATACTTAGGCCTTCCTTCCTTCCTTCCCTCCCTCCCTCCCTCCCTCCTTCCATAAAAATGCCCTCTTCAAATTTCAGATGAATTCACAGATACTTAAAACTGCAAGAAATAAGAGGGGCTTTTTTCCTCCCCGACGAATGACATTATTGAATTGGAAGTGCTACTCAAAACATAATACATACAATGTATTTCAATCTTCTTTGGAAGACAATTTTTGACCTAAAATTCAGTCTCTTGCTGGTATTAGAAAATTTATTTATTTATTTACTTATTTACTTACTTATTCCGTAATTTATTTACATAAATGACTTACTCTCTGGAAACAATTACTGTGGGAGTAAGACACCCCTAATACCCCTCAGGGTGTGTGTTCTGTTACGATACAGCCTGTTGTGCCTTCAAATGGCTTCTACTGTACTGCTGTAAAATGGCTTCTACTGTACATCACAGTGGAGTTGCCATGGTAACAGCTTCACAGTACTCCACAAGGGGGCTCCCTCTGGTAAGGGGGAAAATCCAACATTAGAAATTATATTTGGTCTGGGCATTTCCCCCCTATAAATAAATACTCAGGCAATGCCGGGTTATCAGCTAGTTGTGTGTACATACATACATACATACATACATACATACATACATACATACATACATACATACATACTTCTCAGCAATAAGCATGATAATAAATGATATGCACCCTGAGTGTTTTTATGAAGTTTTACATGCATTTGCTGGAGAGCCAGAAGTAACTGATCAAAGAAGGGTAAAGTTTCCAGCAGTTTGTGGCACTCCAAATTTTAAACTTTTCAGAGACTTCCATGCATAAAACATACAAATGATACCGAGTTCTCACTGCCTCTCTGAGAAAGTAGTATTGCAGATTTTATAATGTGCATGTTCACCAGAAGTGAAATAAATACAGAGAATATTTGGCAACGGTGGGCACGCTATAGATCTGAGTGACAAAGTAGTTGTTTGCAAAGAGACAGTCTCTCTAAGGTTTTTGCAGGAAAAAACCAAAAACATTTTCAGTGAAAGAGAATTTGCTATTACTATTTTCATTTTCCAGAAAGAAGTATTTGAAAGAAAAGGACATGAGAGGAGTGCGTATTCTTACACTTAACTAGTGGCTGAGATGAATATATAGCCTCCTTTCTTTTACTATAGAAAAACCTCTATCCTAACTGACTGTACTTAAATCACAAAGAAAGATACGCTGAGGAAAAAAAATATTTTTCCTTCCTGAGAAGTGCAGATAGGTGGCAGATTTACCACATTAGTGCCTTCAATTCCAAGATCACACAGCTGAATTTGTGCCAAGACGATTCTGGAAGTCACAGTCTCCCAGTTTCTAGTCAGGTGCTTTAATCTCGACACCATACCTATAAACATCCACTCGCATATGTATAAACATTCCCTCGCGCATATGTGCTAGTCACCCTAGCCAACTCTAGGGGACGGTGCTCTTCTCCGCCAAAGAGCCAGCACTGTCCAAAGACATTTCTGTGGTCATGACTAATTGACAGAGGTGCACAGAACACTGTTACCTTCCCACCAAAGATGGTCCCTATTTTTCTACTTGCATTTTTACATGCTTTCGAACCTGCTAGGTTGGCAGAAGCTGGGACAAGTAACAGGAGCTCACTCCGTTATGTGGCACTAGGGATTCAAACCACCGAACTGCTGACCTTTCTGATCGACAAGCTAAGCATCTTAGCCACTGAGCCACCATGTCCCTGAATATATAAACATACACATACTAGAAAATCATGACCTGCTGGATCATTGTTTTCTCATTATGTGGCTTTCATTGTCATTCTAGAGACATGTAGCTGTTTCATCCTTAATTTCTTATATCTTTTTTCCTATTTGTTCTTTTTCTGTGACCCCAGAGATATGCATTTCTCTTATCCTTTGTCTTTTTTTCTCTTCTTCTATGTCCAGAATGTGCCTCTTCTCTCCTCTCTGTCCATCCCTCCTATTCTTTTTTTCTGATTATTTGATCCTAGAGTTGTACAATCCTGACCTAATCTGATGACCTAATTCTCTTCCTTCCTGCCATTTCCCAAACATTTCCTGAAAATGTTTGGAGCAATATACCCCAAAATAAAATAAAATAAAATGATTATTATGTTGCCATTTATGGAAGAAAATATCAAACTGATATGGAAAGAGCTGTGATGAGGCTGTTTTCCTCGCTTCCTACTCTATAAGGTGCAGCAGTAGAAGGTCACCAGCAGTTTTTCAGTTGTTGTTTTCTGAGAAGTCTCAGGTGGTATCATCTCTGCTGGGTCCTTTTAACCAGTGCTGCAATGTGAGTTGCCCCAGATCAGGTTCTCCTTTATGATAACACCCAGAACCTTAAAACTGAACACTTGCTCCACTCCAGTGGTGGGTTTCAAAAATGGTTGGAACCTACTCTGTGGGTGTGGCCTCCTTTGTGGGAGTGGCTTGCCNTTTTTTTTTTTTTTAATGGAGAGAGGTAATACAAGAGACCTCCAGCTAAACTACAACATAAAACTGATACGAAGCACATCTTGATTGAGTGGCATATAACCCTACATTTCATGCCCAGGTCTCGCATTAAAACATTATTTATTTTTATCTTGATTGGGTAAATAAACCACAGGCAGTTTAATGGATCAGCGCAATAATTATGAGTTATTTGGTCAACTTGTAATTTGCTTTCTGTAGTGTTTCAGTGACTCTTCCTTTGCCTGGGGAGTGATTACAAGCTCAAGGGACGTATAAAAATTAGGAATAAGCTAAAATACTCTAAATGAACCATGTGTATCTTATTAACATATTACTCGAAGGCA